GGGCAATGGACCGCAGACAGCGGTGCTCGAAGATGAATAGCCTGCGCAAGTCATCTTTACGAATGGCCCAGGTCTCGCATCCGTACAACAGTACAGCACGAGCAGTTGCACAATAGACCCGCCCTTTGATGGAGAGACGAATGTCGTGGCGACGCCACAAATGCCTCAGCCTAGAAAAAGCGAGGCGTGCTCTCGAGATGCGCATCGAAATCTCGTCTCCAACAGCCCCGACAGCAGTGATGCAACTTCCCAAGTAGACAAAGCTCTCCACAACCTCCAGTGTCTCACCAGCAAGCGTGAGTGCAGGCAGAGGCACCTGCCAGTCTTGAAGGAGAGCCTTGCATTTGGATGGCGAAAAGTACATACCGTACTTTGACGCTTCAATCGTCAAGCGGTTTAATGCAAGTTGGACGACCTGTGGATCGTCACCCAGCAAGACGATATCATCAGCATAATCCAAATCAACAACTCGACTATCTGGGAGGAGCTCAACGCCAGCGTTCAACGAATCGCTCAGAGCGTTCTTCAGGACATCCTTAATTGCAAAGTTGAATAGGAACGGAGAGATAGGGCATCCTTGTCGAACTCCACTGGAGACCACAAAGGTAGGCGAAAGCATGCCATAAGCCATAACTCTGCCCGAGGTCAGACAGTATAGAGCGCGCAGTATGGAGACGAACTTCTCGGGGGCACCGTTCCTCAGAAGGCACTGCCACAGTACTGTACGATCGACAGAATCGAAGGCTGCACGGATATCCAGGAACACAGCAATCGTTGGCCTCTGATACACATGGCGGAGCTCGAGGATCTGGCGAAGTGTGAAGATTTGATCGATGCAGCCGCGACCAGGGCGAAACCCAGCTTGTTCTTCTCGTTGCAACGATTCGCGTGTTGGGGATAGCCTGCAAAGTATGATGGACACCAGCAGCTTGCAAACGACGGGGACTAAACTTATTCCTCTGTAGTTGGAGCAGATTGTACGCAGGCCCTTTTTGAAGATGGGTACAACTATCGATTCACCCCAAGATGATGGAACCTTCTCTCTCGACCAAATTTTCGAGAACAAAGCGGTGAGTTCTCGGACCAGCGATGCGCCACCATCTTTAAATAGAGCTGGGTGAAGACCATCAGGGCCGGGAGCTTTATAACGCTTCATGTGCCGGAGCTCCTGCTCGATTTCCTGGGAAGAGGGAGGATCTGTTGGGGTAGACCACTCGGCCTCAGCGCGAGCGCCAGAGGTAGTAGATGGAGCTGGGGGCCAACAAAACTGCGAGCCAAAATGTTCGACCCATCGCTCCAACCGTCGTTGAAGATTGGTGATTAAGGTGTCATCCTCTTTGCATATTGTTTCACTTATACCAGATCGAATACCTTCAGTGACTCGAAGGAGATGGAAGAGTTTCCTGGTATTACCACAGAGACTAGCAAGCTCCATCTCCCTAGCACGTTCACACCACCAAGCTTCGCGGTCCATTTGCAGACTCCTGCGCAACTCTCGACCAAGGTATTGGCGTTCTTCAACGTGTCTGGAATCCGATGGGATCAAGCGGCGTCTATCCATCAGCGACAAGGAGTCTGCGGAAATCCAATGTTTCGGTGGGTGACGGGTAACTCCACAAGTGTCGATACTGGCGGAAGCTAAATCATCTTTGATATGCGCCCACTGCGAATCGAGATCACCGTCAACAGTTGAGCCAAGCAAATTTGACAGTGAGGCTTGGTACCTGGTTAAAACCGCAGCGTTTTGCAGATTCGCGACGTCCGGTCGGTAGTGGGCGCGCTTAGGTGATCCTCCGAAACGCATGCAAATCTTAGCACGAAGCAATGCGTGATCAGAGTCTAGAAAAGTTGACCAGTACGATCGGCAGTCCGTTACGCTTCCGCGCCATCTGTAGCTGATTGCTATGTGGTCAAGCTGGGAGCACTCTTGCGTTTGTGAGGGCGGGCGCCAGGTAGCAGTCTGTCTCCTCGACTGTCGAAAACTAGTGCTCGAAAGAAACAAGCGATGATCAGAGCAACGAGCAAGTAGTCTGTCTCCATTGTCTGATCGACTGCCACCGAGACCAAAACTACCCCCAATGTGGTGCTCGCTGGGTAGAAGGCGGCCAACCCGTGCGTTAAAGTCCCCGGCAAGAATGACTATATCCGTCCGTTTGGAGGAACGCAGAAGTTCATGTAGTTGTTGGTAAAAGCTATCTTTAACTGCATCCGGGCTGCAGTCTGTAGGGGCCTAGGCGGAGACGACAAATAAGGCACGCTTAACATCTCGACGCCTGCTTACGTTACATGAACCTCTTAGTCTGACTGCACATAGTCGGCTGTTGACTGGGATCCAGTCAAGCAGAGCTGATTCAGCCCTGGCACTTAATACAACCCCAACACCAAATTGACCAGTGGCGGCAGATTCTGGGTCTCCGGAAAGCCGCAAGTAGTATTTGGCGTCAGAGTTTACCGGAGAGGCCATTCTGATGACGGCGCTAGAGTCTTGTAATCTGGTCTCTGAAAGACAACAGATGTCTACCGATAGCGTTTCAAGAGTACGGGCCAGACATGCTTGTCGTCCGATCTGCATCAAAGTTCGAACATTAAACGCTGCGAGGATGAATGGAGAACCAGGTCGAAGAAGAGCTGGAGCTTCGGTGGAGTGAGAGGCGGTTGCGATCGCAGGACATTGAAAACAGGAAGCTTGGCTGTTACTTCCATCAGCTGCGAGACGCGGGTCGTTTGTGACGGTGACCGTAGAAGACACAAGAGTACATGTAGGTGAAGGACGGGAGGTGGGGTGGTCTGTGAGTGGACGTTGAGCGGTTGAGTTAAGACAGAAGAGCGGCATAGTAGTAGTGAGCGGTGTAGTCCATGATTCGTCAGTAGGCGTGATACTACCCGGTTGCCCAGGCCGAAGTAGAGGTTTCTTAAAAAGAGCCGAGAGTGGTATAGATAATGGTGAAGCTGGAAATTCTTCGTAATCATCTATCATTAAAGTGAACGATCTACCGTTTGCCGACAGTATCTTGTTTTCAACTGTTTGTTAGCTGCCTGGGAATGTGACGGTCTTTACAACCGGTCCTTGACTTGGTAGTGGGGCCCTTTCTAACTGGCTGTCCTTCCTGCTGTGTTATTGGCTTCGGCCCAAGCTACGCGTTTCGAGATCGAGTGAGACCACTAGCTTTGGTATTAGAAGCAACCATTTTGTTTAATATCCCAGGTTGGGTCGTGTTGCTGGAGCAAGAAGCGAAGAGCTTAATGTTGCCACCCAAAGACATGCGCTACCAAGGTCTACTTTAACATCTAGCTATTCTATCGACTGTGCTATATTCACGTTATTCTGGCTGAGGTGTCGAATCGTACGTTTACCCTGCTTTTAGCGTTCGTGAGGACTCAATAAGAGATCTTTGCAGAGGTGTCCGATCATGTCCATGATATAACTCCTTTACTTGAGTATGCTGGGTTATGGCCAGCTAAAACTGCATGAAACTGTATTATCTCTTCATTAGAAAATCTGCAAAGAATCGGGTAATACTCTTCTTGTTCTTTTCGGTCTTAGACATTTACTTTTGCTCTCAGACGTATTGCAAGCACCTAATACTGTAGCTTTAACCAAATTAAATTTGTCGGGTATATTGAAAGGGGTTGCATATTTTTAGTTACGCATTCCTTTTTGAGCTTCCGACGTGATCTAGGCGATTAGTCTTTCTACTCTTTCTATCTGGACCGGATTGCAGACGTAATTAAAAGAAGCAGCATGATTTCTGGGAGGTTCAATGTAGGCCACCGTTTGTTTCAGTTCAATTAGTTGCAGTTCGAGAGGCCCATTCTTGACATTCTTGGGTGTAATGATACTGGCACCTGTGTGGAGTGCTTTGTCTTTTACCTACTGTTCGCGGAGTAAAGGTTACAATTGCGGTTAGGTCTTCTTGGAGTTAGAGAAAAATGGCACAGTCAGCATCCATACTAAGGAAAGGCATTCGCAGGAGACGGGTTTGAGGCTAGAACAAGAGACGGCTTGCAAAAATGCTGAATGCCTATTTTGGAAACAAATACATAGCTAGGGGTCACAAAATTATTGAAGTGAACAACAGTCCCCATTTATGGAGACATCAGACCCGAGGCACTTAGAGCTTAACGTTGCCAGATGAGGTGTAAGGTGCGGCCACGCAGTCCATGCGGACGGTGAGATGAGTGAAGTGTAGACCAAGTTGTGTGCACAACCTTACGCGTGTGTCCATGGATTGGGTTGCGGTAAATAAGAGATTCAGATCGGTTTCAAATGAAATTGGTTCCAGATGTATTGCTAACAATTACGCAATGAGCGTATAGGTAGTGGTAATTGTTCTAATATCTACCTTGTATGGCAACTGATTAAGATAAATGTGGACTTATTACAGAGCCCTCATAATAGCCTTGCAAATGATCTAGGAAGTGATGAAGTCGTGCGCGTAAGCTTCGGAATGGAAAGCACAAAAATTGCAAATTGTGGAGGAGTGATGATCCATAGGGTGTACATCCAGTGAGTGCCGGAAAGCATTTGTTAAGTCCAATCGAATGGGCATGAGCGTTAACTGTTAAACGAAATTTGTTGCCAAAAACCAACAAGGTGCACTGGAGCAAAAACACTGCGACCGAACTTCAGCTGTATTCGTCGCACTATTGCTGACTTATAACTGTTCCATTTGCGATTTTATTTTTTATCAGTTCGCCGCGAATCACTGTTTGTATGATTATTAATAATGTTTGCATGTGCAAGTGAAACAGGGCAACCGGATCTACTGCACTTCATTGTACGGAACGTAGTTGATAAACTCAGCCGAATTTAATTCTTACCTATGGGGTTAACATGCAACACCACTAAATGGTTGACTGTACCAAGCGTGGACGTCGGTGACTCTGCGATCTGCATACAACATTTATCTTCGGTTCTCTGGTCAGGCGAAAGCGTTGCAATCCGCAAATATGATTACTTTCTGCATTTCTCCAAGTTGCGATGGATCAAAAAACACGGTGGTTCAATTATCTGCTTCCTACATTGAACGTAACAAGCGGGATAACAGGAACTACATCAATCAGACAGGACCAAACCCCAAAGTACAGACATATAGGTGTACACACGATAACCCTAACGAGTAAAGCACAAAGAAATGAATATAAAAGTAACAATCATGTGAAGGACGACTGTTGTCACTGCAGAAACTGAAAGACTCCGAACAGTATAAAACAAGATGAAAATGTTCACGCGCTACTTAGCTGTCAGTGGGATGTAACACAGTAATTCGGCCGTCCACCGTGGGAGCAGTGCAAGTCGCACTTTTCAACTCGCTCTGCTCTATGAGTATCGCACGAGCCCTCTGCCAATGGTTGGCCAAGTTCGGGTCACATGCCGGTAGCGCTGGCCCTCCAGCCAACTCCAGTAAACGACGACGGTCGGCGATGGTCACAATGCTTTGACGGTGTCTCGTTCGAGCTCGTTCAAATCCCTTGAGAACCTATAGAAAAATGATTCAAATTTGGTTTCAACATAACCAGTTTTTATTACCTGGTAGAAACTGAAGATAGACATTGAAAATAGGTAACTAATACGCCAATATCATTTATTAATGGATAAATTGAAGCTGCTTCTGTTGCTGAGTATGCGTTTGACTGTCCAAAGGCCATGAAAGTTAAACACGAATTTAAAGTGGTCAGTTTCCAGGTACCCCTCTGGTTAGCGGTGTCTACGGTAGATAATGAAAAGCACAAATTACTACATGAAATAAGATTAGTTGGGTGTGTTGCACAGGCATCAACATAAACAGTGCATTAAAGTGATCCTGTACTACGTCTTCAGTAACATGGAATGGTGATTTACCTGGTACATAAGGTGTACGAAGCACGAAAGCTGACAGTTCTTTAGGCTAAGATCAGGATTCTTAAGTGTAAGTTTGACCCAATGTTCTGACAACCTCTCAGATAATGCAACTGGGTTAACACAGTTCACCAAACTATCCGCTTTTTCTGGCGAATCTGGGCCCCGGCCGTTCTTACACTTCCCCTTGTTCGCGTACCGTCATCTGTGCATCCCAACATTCGTAATGAGTGCCGTTTGGTTCTCATTTCCTCTGTTACATTCTATATATTTTACTGGTCTCGGTCTCGATTTTGGCTATACGATCCGAATTCGACAGCCTCGCTTACGTTTGGGTTACCCCAGTACGACTGGTGCAACACTGCACCTTCGCAAACATGCACCGCTTACGCATTCTTTTAAACTATCGGCTTGTTGTCACATGTGATGACTCGCACACTAACTCGCAGTACACTGCGTCACGAACAGGGAGAGAGGGTAAAAATGTTTGGAATCAACCGAGAACTTTGAAGTTGAATTTTGGATCTTTCTTAGTAACATCCAAGTCAGTTGTTTTCTGCACGTCCGGATAAACAATGGATGCTGTTTCATTATACGGGACTCGGTAGTAATGCTATTCCGGACTCGTGTGAGACTGTCTGGCTTGGAAATATTACAAAGGACCCTAAATAAATCAGGGATGCAATTCCATCTTAACCGAAATGCAGTAGATCAGCTAGCATGCATGGATGTTATCTAGCACAATTATTTCCCGTATCTCCTTGTGAGGTGTGGTGGAAGTTTGTTCAAATGTAGGCCTAACACGGTAACGGTGCCGGTTCCAGTAGTTTGGTTGAATGTATTGAAAGCGAGTAATTCACACTAAACATGAATGTTCCGAGGACCGAAGCGTTGTGGCTTTGTCGAGTGTTAACTGCATCTGTGTACGGACAGATAGTGTGAGAATGGAAAAGAAGACACAGATACATACAAATAAACAGAGGATGTAGGAGGAAATGAATGAGAGAAGTAAAATAATGAATTCATAGATGGTTGTCTGTGTTCGCTGAGCTCGTCGGTTTAGCTGAAAAGGTTTCGTCACCACCCGAAGTGACATCGTCAGTGCCCGTTTATGTGGCTGAGCGGCATGGTACGAAGCGTCAGTGAGTGTGAGCGATCGATCTTCCAACTGTCAGTCTGAGTTTGGATCGTTCGGCGGGCACATGACCATCGAAATCCACCCCTGATTCTTGCCTCGTAGCGTACGTGTGAGTGACTCTTCGATTGTCGTCGTTCACGCATTTGCCCGGCGTTCTGTTCCGTTAGATTTAGTCCACTAACTCGCTGATCTTTCGTCCGTAGCGCTGCATATATAGCATCTATTTCAACGTGTCCGTCTATTGAATTGTCTGTAGAATACCATGCTTCCAAGCGCTCACTAGCTTGCAACGAATTTCCACGAGCTAGGACCTTCATGTTCTCTAGGTTAAAGTGGTGGACTTCTTGGTCTTCATGCATGGAAACCAGTAAATGCGGGTCGTGTCTCTGTATGGCCATTATGTGTTGGTTAATCCGTTGTTGTGTATTCTGTCAGCTGTCTGGGCGTCTAGTCTAGACAGACACGTGCACACAACCCAGACACACACACACACACAAAGCGTCTAATTCTCTACTTCCTTATTGGTTCATCCTTCTCCTTGCGAAACCTTATTGTACTCACCCAGTTAGACATTGTTCAGATTACAGTAGTCCATTTCCGAGAGTGACCTTTTCGTATACAACACTGGCGTCGCGCCTTACGAACCTACGCCATAGAATTACATCCTCCTACCGTTTACTGGTCTGATCCGACCGTACGTCCTACCGAAAGTGCATAGGCCCAGTGGAAAACATCGTTTACAAACTACCTTGACCTACTACCTGCGGCTGACAACTACACTGAAAGCCAGAAACTGAAGCTACTCAGACACCTACTAGGTGATGAGGGACAACGTCAATTTGATGCTTTGGAGCTGCAGTCACAAGATACCTTGGCGAAAGCGCTAGAGGTGCTGGACAAGTCATGGGGACAGCGTACAAATCTCTTCATGACTCGCCTCAAATTCGGCCGACTTACACAGGAACCATCGGAAACTCTAGACGGTTTCGTTGATCGCCTCATTCGCGGTGTACGACCCTGCGAGTATCCAACCATACCGAAAAATAGAATCGAGGGCGTAATGCTAGTGCAGCAGTTGATTAGTGGTATCACCAACAACCGAATTCGGGAATGCCTACTTTCCGAAGACGCTTCCAAATTAACTTGGGATAAGGCTGTGGAAATAGCTCGCCTCAAAACATGTACGGCCGAACAGTTGCGATGTTTCGCCACCCACGCAGACATACAGGAGGTTTCCAAGATCCATCGCTCGCCAACTGAATTCCAATCCCCACAGAAATGCTTCCGCTGCGGCAGCCTACAGCATAAAGCCAATTTTACCAAGTGCCCTGCCTTAGAAATGGATTGTAAAAAGTGCGGTAAGCGTGGACATTTTGCTCGTTGTTGTCGTTCAGCACGCATTTCTCAGTTGAATCCTACAGGTTCCGTTTCTAATCAACAGTTACAGTCCTCTGAAAATGTATTTTCCATTGATAACACAAGTACTGTGTCTAACTATCGTTCCAATTGTCCAGAGCCTAAACTACCTATGCCTGACATTCGTACTGTTACAGTTTTTGCACACGATAGAATAACACATGTTGACATGGAACTTGATTCAGCCTCTCCTATCACTATAGTACCGAGTAGTTTTTATGACATTCACCTACATGACATGCCTATACATCCTTCAGCCTATCGATTTGACAGTTATACAAAGGCCCCGGTAGAAATACGAGGATTTGTGGTGATTGTGTTGCAACTTGGGGCCGTGAAATCATCAGTTGCTGTGTACGTTACCCGCGGAAATAACCGTCCCTTACTTGGACGCAACGCTATGGTTGCACTGGGAGTCACGCCGTCCCTATCTCGTATGCGTATCATGGCAATTAACCTATCAGACCTACAGGTACGGTACCCGAAATTATTTGAACAAACAATAGGGCGCGCTCCGTCCTCCGTTCACCGCATATGTCTGAAGCAGGATGCTAAACCGGTAGCTATTGCTCATCCACGTCCAATTCCTTTGACCAAAAGAGAGGCTGTTTCGTCAGCATTACGGCAGATGATTGCAGATGATCTCATTGAACCCATTAACTGTTCTGAATGGGTCCACCCTATGGTTACAGTCCTCAAGAAGGACGGTACAGTAAGAATATGCAATGACCTGCAGGCCCTAAATCGGCAAATCGTGGTAGAAACATTTGTGCTTCCAACCGCGGATGAACTAATAGTTAAACTAGCTGGCGCCCGATATTTTTCAAAATTGGACCTTAGGAAGGCTTTCTTTCACATGCCTCTAATTAAGGAGTCAAGACCGCTGACCGCATTTCTCACTATGGACGGACTCTTTCAGTACAAAGTCTTGCCAATGGGCTTGAGTTCAGCTCCAGCAGCTTGGCAAAAGTTTATGGTTCACTCATTTGCCAATTTACCTGGTCAGATAGTATACATGGACGACATCTGTGTATTCGGTAGGACTCAAGAAGAACATGATTCACGGCTGCATGCTGTGTTACGTCGATTACACGATCTTAACCTCAGATTAATCCTCGAGAAGTGCAAATTTAATGCTAGTGAGATCGAGTTCCTGGGCCACATTATAACAAATGACGGTATGAAGCCCAGTTTTGACAACGCGCGTGCCATCACTGAGGCTCCTTGCCCACAGAACTCCACTGAAATAAAGCATTTTCTAGGTATGTGTTCTTACAACCTACGTTATCTGCAGGATTTCACAAATATTGCTGAGCCACTGCGTGAACTGACAAAGGAGAAAAGTGTATTTGTTTGGGGTCCACCCCAACAAAAGGCATTTGATGAGATAAAACGCCGCATTGCTTCCACACCAGTTATGGCGATTTTCGATGAGACATGCCCAACGATTGTCTCTACTGATGCATCAAACATTGGGTTGGGTGCTATACTATCTCAAATTCAAAATGGGCATGAAAGAGTTATTGCTTACGCTTCCAGAAAATTGTCGGCCGCGGAGCTTTCTTACTCTGCCGGGGAAAAAGAAGCCCTTGCCTGTGTTTGGGCCTGTGAGAAGTGGAATCTGTTCTTGTTCGGAAGACCCTTCACTCTTCGTACAGACCACGCAGCGCTAACTAGTTTACTTACTCGAGGAACAAATGGCATCAGGCCACTTCGAATACACCGCTGGTATGCACGATTGTTAACGTACGATTTTCAAATTAAATTCCGTCCCGGACGCGAAAACCAGGTAGCGGATGGGCTCTCTCGACTACCCCACAACGAAACTGAAAATAATGAGGATGATAATGAGAGATTACTGGTGTCTTCGCTGAGTAATGAACTAATCTCAGCCCTGACTAGGGAAGAACTCCAGAAGGCCACTCAGGAAGATGAGACACTCTGCCACGTTCAGGAGTATCTGCTAAACGGTTGGCCACAAAACAATTAGATCACAGGCGAGTTTCGTCCGTACTACGTGTTGCGTCACGAACTTTCAGTTATAGATGGATGTTTAATGCGTGGCGAAAAGTTTGTGGCTCCTCGGA